CCAGTTATACTCTTAAAATACATGAAAACCCAGGAGCTTCGCCCCCTGGGCCCACACCGCCTTAAGACGGCCCTAGACTCCCTGCCTGAACGAACATATCCACCCCCACCCCCACCCCAATCACAAATCCTGTATCCGATCATGTTATCCAACCAACATTGGCCATTCAATGAAATTGTAAAGGTTTTAAAATGTCATTTACAGTTAAAGTGACAATAGTTTCCATATGGATTTTGACCAAAAAAAAAAAAAAAAAAGGTTCTGCATGAAAAAAGAGACGAAAGATCCGTTACATACGGTATACATAATTATATATATGGAATAATAAGAATAAAAGTAGTTTGAAAATTGTGATGACCATTTAATATCTGATAAAAGAAGCAATAACACATACATCCTAAGAGGGACCTGCAAAAAGATTTGTTTATTGGATGATAACTTTCAGAAAGTCCAGTGACAAGGATTGTGTTGCTGCAAATGTTTCTCTAACTGAAGCTAGATTGTTGCTCTGGTTACAAATAAAGTTTTTACCTGTACCACACGGGTATCACTAGAACATTTAAATACAAGTTTATTAAACAATTGCATACACAGTACAGTTTTTTCTTTGGATTTCTCAGACTTGGTTGCTGTTGATTGCATCAGATGATATTCAGTGGCCGCCTACTCCTCTGTGAACATTGGATTGTACACGACGATCTTCTCATCCCTCTCCAAACCACACACTGCATACAGACCCGGGCACTCCAGCACAGTAACAATCCTCGGATTGTCATAGATAGACGAAGTTTGGGAAATGACAGATACAGGATCACATTCTTCAGTGGATAACTCCTCCTCCTTCACCATTTTCTCTGTCCACGTTTGGAAGTGGTGTCGTTGAGCTTTGCAAGCCGCTTCAGTGTTATCTGGTTTCTCTAAATCATGATCTGCATTGGTGAATCTGGACAATTTGCATCCAAGGAATGCGGCCACGCTACAACAAATCAAAATGCCAGCAAATATGAAAATGTTCTTTGTTGAAAAACTGAACGTCTGAATGTGTTCTGTCACAGGATGATCGTGATTGGCTGAACTGTGCGGAAGCGGTGCACATATGCACAAGGGCAAGACAAAAATAAAACTCAATACTAAATTTCCTTTCATACTATCACTTTCCTCCTTTTCATCTCCAAGAATAACAAATAAAATTAAACGTCACAATAAGTGCACTGTGACGTTAACAAATTGTGACGTCATAATCAATGTAAAGTGAAGCTTTGATTGTGACGTAATGATATATATATAATCTGGCATCGTCGCAAACCACGGCTAAAATGTTAGTCTGTCTCTCCTGGCATTCCCATAATGCAGCGCAAACGAAAGGCTAGGGAAACAGGCTACCAAAATGTATGATTCTCTCCCATTCTGGCCGGGTAGGAGTATGCGGACTCCAAACCGTGGCTTGAGACGATGCCAGTTAGCGCTTTTTGTTGTTTGTGAGCTGTCGAGACAAGAGATTTAATCTGTAAGGGATAGAAAGCCACATTTTAATTCTTCTTTAAACATATAGTAAATGTTAACAAAAACAAGAGTAAAGTACACATACTATGTATCGTAAAAATAATGCTTTGGCATCTTTTGCTAAATGAAATACGGGTACAATGACCAGGTAACAAGCTCCAAAGTCCATTAGAGCAGATTTAGAGCTAAGCAAACGCGGGCCTCTAAAAACATCAGAGGTGGGATCAGGAGCCATGAAGGAGAAAGCATTCCCCGACGACCGATCACATTCGCCTTGTGCTCCTTGTCATGATTGGGCGTATTTATTTCAATATAAAAAAAAAACATTTTCTGTACATAATTTTAATTCAAACATAACTATGCCTGTTCTTCTTTGTAATTGTCTCAATCATGTTTTTGTTTGTGATGTACGATATGGCCCCGATTTGGATATAAAGAATCTATCTAGACAAGATGAGCGACATCTATTGGTACTGTATATAAATGAAGTTAGATACCAGAGAAATAATGTTTTCTGAACATTCATGGTGGGGAATGAATGAGAAACTCCATTATATCATGTGGTTTTAATAAAGAAAAAAGTTTATACATGTATTTTTTAAAAAATATTATTTGCATGCAAGTCGACGTGTTTTACCGCTCATGACAATGAAATTAAACAAAGGCACCACAAAGAAGAGTATCCCCTTGCAAAAAGCATATCTATAAATCAAAACATCATTCGACATCGATAGCGATGCAAATAACGTCACTTCCGTTTTGCACACCTTTAACTCACTCTCCCACAAAAAAATCCCCCCCCCCACACACACACGAAAACTTTATCGCCTCCAACTCCGTATCAAGGGGAGAATAATGTTTTGCTTCATAAATAAATTTGCTCCTCTGAAGAATTATTTTCATGTATACATTGATATTTAAAATGTATGAACATTCTGAATCCACGTGGTCTGTCTGATTTTTCCCCCTATTTTAACAAGAATGCCTTTAATTTATATTCACAATTTTCAAACTAATTAATGCGGAGATGAATTCTTTTTAATTAAAGAGGTAACTTTTAAAATTACTAGTATATTTTGCTTTGTCAAATGCAAAAAAATGTTAATAATTGGACTGAAAAAGATAAGGATTATGATGGCCACCAAGAATTTGCCCCAAATTCATAATTAAATGAGTGCAAATTTTTCAGTGTAATTTTTTCATTTTATATTGATAGATGAATATAAAAAAAGTGGTAATATATTTTTAAATTTATATAATAATTATTATACTAGAAAGCCATTTACAGAAAGTACAATAAAACAACAAAACACGCGGATATTTTTGAAGAAAAAAAGGAACTCTTTTAATAACAGAAAAAGAATTGTCGATTATTAAAACAAAAATTAAATATATAATTATAATATTGTCTTTTCAGTTAAGTGAGAACACCAGACGCATCCTGTGTTTTTTTATTGAGGTGCTGCTGCTTGAGTTACTTTCCGGTAAACAATGGATTACAAACAACAATTTCTTCATCCTCTTCCATACCAAACATTCCATAAAGGCCTGGGCATTCAAGCACAATATCAGCAGTATCATTTTTAGAAGTAGATGTTCCAGAGCCGACAGATACAGATTGAGAGTGGCTGTTTTGAGGTGAGGCCTCCTCTTCTATCATTTTCTCTGCCCATCGCTGGAAGTGGTGCCGCTGAGCACTAAGACCAGGAACCCTGTATCCACTTATGGGACTTTCCATAATCCCTGCAAACTTCCATCCGATATATCCAGCCAGACTACAAAATGCTACAATTCCACCAATTACGATCATATCCTTCGAAAACAAAATGTCCGACCGAGTTTGATCCGCCAACAGAGGGACAATATTGGAAAGTCTAAGAGGAACGGATGCACTTTTACACAGTGGGACTTCATTAGAAAATCCCTTTCCAGTATATTGTACCATGATTTCAGAAATCTACGGGAATCACATTGACGTAGGAATTGTGACGTAAAGTACTTGTGACGTTATGCACTTGTGACGTCACTCTATATAAAATGTGTACCTTGAGGTCGCGATGCATTACGATATTTTGGAAAAATCTCAATATAATTCTATCAAGATATATATCTTTTTATTACAGTTTTTATAAAAATCTATTTCTGCTTTTAATTTGAAAAAAAAAGAAGTAAATTCAGCATAGTTCTTTCCCCCCAAAAATTCTTAAGTTTGTAGTGATTTCCGTAACCAAAATCAAAACGCTTTAACTTTTTCTATTAATTTTTGTTTTCACAAGTTTCCTTTGATTTTAGCTAGTTATACCATAGTCGTATACACAAGGAATTTACATTTCAAAACTTAAAAATATACTTCCTGAAAGAATAAAAAAAATACCATTGTCCAAACCGGAAAATCCTTTTTCGGGGGGGGGGGGGGAGGGGGGGTTCGAACTTTTTTTTCTTTTTTTTTCAAAACACTATCACTTTACCTTCTTTGACTACACTGCAAATGCCTGTTGAAATGGGGGGAGGGGGGCTGCCTATATTATATCTATTAAGATCTTTGCAAAAAAGGGGGCTAAGCGACCCCCCCCCCCGTTTCGGACACCTATGCAATATTAAAATATTGAGAAACTTGGATAAACCTTACATGGCTGATGCAGAGATTCAATGGCATTGCCCTGACAGTGCCCCCCTCCCCTATCATTTCGATACATAAAAAAAATGGAGAACACCTCATCTGTGTAATTGAAACACAAGTGAAATTTGCTTGACTTTTCTGGAAGAATAGAATACACCCATTACAGTGTGACATGAAATTATTTAAGAAGTCGCCGATAAAAAGTCTGAATAAATTACCGTTCACATACAATTCTGCTCCTGTTTTAAAGAAGCATCTTATGAGGATTGAAATGTGTGTTTCTGCATCCTGGGGCCTAATATGGAGGAGGTGAAACTAAATTTCAATTACTCATTAATGTATTTTTATCTAATAAAGTGCAATAACAGGATCAATTAAAAAAAATTAACTTTATTTTCTCTAAAACTGGTTTCTTCCTTCGTTGAGAATTTTATATAAATGAGAGAGGATCGGTTGCCTGCAATCACCATTATATAGGCTTATTTGTTTGTTTCAGCTCTCCAGCTCAAACAATATTTATGCAAAATACCTATTTTTGAAAACTTTCAGCAAAGAAAAAAAAAGAAAAAAAGTTTGTTAAAAGAGCAATGAACAAATGATGGGGACCAATCCCTCTGTGTATTAATAGTTTTGATGAATTACTCTCATGTGGCAATTTGGTATGTTCATTAAATACATTTTTGGATAATTATAAAAAATCAATGTAGAAAGTTTACATAAAAAAGAAAATTATTTTTCCTGTAATTTAATCATGTCTCACAAGTCAGTATCGTCACAAATTAACTTTTCAATTTTGATACTGCTCATCATTTTGAAACAATCTGAAATCTCCTTGAGTTATCTTTCCTTCCATATACTGCTCTAACGAAGATAAAACGAAGGCTTCATATAATCTTCTTTTATTCGAACACTTATTTCATGATAATGCTTTGCACATAATATGTATAATATATAATCTAATCAGCATATTGTCCAGCAATAAAGTTAGTGTAAAATAGGCAAAAAAGTAACAAAAATAACAGAAGAAATACATAGTTCATCATAATATAAAGGTGAACACCAAATTTTCAGAAAGGAGTGAACACAATCATCAAATAATTGAACACAAAAATTGCAAACAAAATAGGACACTGTTAAGAAAAGGTTTTTAACACTATGTTGTGAACTGGAATCAGAATACTAGTATTTTCCCTTAAAATATTGGAATGACAGATTGCAACTACATTGAACTAAATGTGACATATCAAGTTTTAATTCTGATCCATCATTTTAAATTTTTGATTTTATGTCTAATACATAAAAGAATGAAATATAATCTTCAAATCTCATTGAAATTAGAAATAGGTTAAACCTTAAAAAGAAGGAGTGAGCTTTGGTACTTACAAACATGAAATATCTAGCCTTTTCTATTGAATTCACTAAACTTGCATATAAACGTCATTTTTTAAAAATACTTACTGTCACTAAATTTACAGAGATTTATTTAAATGATCTTCCATATTCTAATACTAAAAATATTGTCTCCCACCTTAGTGCTTTTTCGTTGACATCTTTAAGAAGATACTATGAGATGAACTTTGTATAAACTTCTAAAGGTGACACTGAGATTTAGATACAAAACAATCTGACTTGATTACAACAATCAGTTTGTAAACGGATAACATGAAGTCCACTTGAACCACATAATGTACATATTAAAGATTGAAAATAAATAATTTGTAGAATAATTACCAAATACTTTATGCCAACAGCCACATGCAAATCAATGAATTAATGAATGGCATTTGATGAAACATTCTTCATGCACAACAATGAATACCAAAAATTACTATGAGCTTCACTGGTTTGTTTTTTTTTCCCTAGAAAAAGGTGAAAGTGTTTGGATAGAAATACTAGAATACTAAATTGTTTTCCTAACTTTCTTAACCAATTACTAAGCTCTGGAAGCTGTGCTTAGATTTTAGACATACATTGCTTGGCTTTTTACAAGAACTAAAATATATGCGAAATCTTGATTACATGTATAGGCAATATATATTATGTTAGTTGAAAAATTCTACGAAAGAAACTATCATACTTGTAATAAATGTATAGTGATGATATAACTGTACCATATGTTCTCAATATTGTGAGCACACAACCAAATCTTGTTTATCTTGCAAAAGGACATCCAAAATAAACTGGGCACCAATCCTAGGTGTATTACTTGAGTTATGGTGGTATATTTACATATCATTGTTCTAGCTGACAATCTTATGCATTCAGAATACAAAAACATGATTTGGAGGAATGAAAAACAGACTGGCATGAAGCTACAAGTTACCTTTACACTGTATCACATATAATAATCAAATCTTATGGAATCAAGTGATATTCAGAAAAATACAAACAACTAGATCTCTCTACATTTTACATTTTTTCTCATTTATGTTAACATAATGCTTTTCATTTGATTAGCTAAAATACAAATTCAATTTGACCTTCAAACATTTGAAAAATTACCAATATTTTCTTATTTCCATTTTACAGTATCTTACAAAAAAATCAATCTGATATTGAAGATGCTCTGTTCTGGAACAATAAGATTCTATCACATATAATGCCTCAGTGTATACACAACTCTCATGCTGCAGATAAAACTGTTCTTTGTGAAATGTTGAATGAAATGGAATATTCTTGAGGGTACCATTATTGGTTGGTTGCTGCATCTGCTGTCAGCATTTGATACAGAACTTGATCTTTCATGCAGCCTTCAATAAACTCTTGTTTTGTTAAATGTCCGTCACCATTTTCGTCCATTTTTTCAAAAATTTTCTCTGTCCTTTTTTCTGGTGTGTCCTCTCCTTGCCCACACAGTGCACTTCCCAGCATGTTGTAAATTGCCTGCAAAAGTTATTTAAAATTTTCATGAAATGAAACAAGAGATAGTGCTCAAAAAGCTAAACATTTCTCAAACTGAATTCTAATTTTAAGTGTGCTGATAATATTCTTGTTATATGTATTTACTAAAACGCTCGCATCTTGGCTGACTTGTTTCATAACAATTGCTAAGCCTCTGTTTTTCAAATGAATCTGACTACAGAATGTTCCTTCTATCTGATCAATACAAAAGGATCAGGACGGGAGTGACCTGTTTACATGGGATGCTTACTCCTCTTAGGGACCTGATCCCACCTCTGGAATTTCTAGTGGTCAGAGTTTTTTATGCTCTCCTAACATTTTTGTTTGTTTATTTATAATTTTTTTTTTCAGATTAATCATTGTTCCTTATCTTCACCATTCTACATTATGTATAAACTTGATAAAAAAAAAACATTTAAAACATTTCATACAATCTGAATTGAACCATATGAGAGTTTCAAGAAAAAAAATCCAACTGAACAGATTATTGATAACAATCAAACAATATTGGTGCTTCATACATGTTATGTCCTCAGTTAACCTACTTATTGCCCAAGCAGTGGCCTCCGTTCGCAATAGTTTGGACTAGTAATGAACAGAATTATTGATTAATAAAAACCCCTCATTTCAAAATTGATGATGTTATAAAACCGGCAATCAATGTCATAATATAACCCTTTGCTTGCAATCATTCATCTATGTAGCAGCACTCCGAGAAAATATTATGGCTATTATATTTTTTCTCTCTTACAAGACAAAAGAGGACATACATTTCCTCATTAACCCAGGAACCCAGTTTGATTAACCTAGGAACCCAGTTTAATATTACTGAATAATTTCATTGCCACTGACAGGTACTTGTGCTAAACTTACCCCAATTATTTCCACCATTTCATCTTTTTCAATGGTTCCATTCCCATCAATATCATACATAGTGAAGGCCCAGTTCAGTTTGCTCTTGGGATCACCACCAGAGGTGATGTTAATGGCAAGCAAGAATTCCTTAAAGTCAATTTTACCACTGTTGTCTCCATCAAAGGACCTAAACACATGGTTACAAAACTTGTCTGGATTTCCTGTGGGGAAGAATGTGGAATACACCTCAAGAAACTTGGACTTTGACAGCAATCCATCAGGACAGTCCCTCTGAAATAAGGAGATGACCAATCATATATTGGGAAAAAATTCTCAAATTTTCAAAGATGCTATTTTAAAAAATAAAGTGATGCACTAGGATACATAATATGCCCATTTAGAACTTTAAAACACAAGTTTGATGGATATTTTTAGATAAATTAAAGTGATACACTAACACGGTTTTTTAGGAGAAAAATATATCATATAAAGATATGCATATTGAGACTTTTTCATTCATTTAGAACATAGGGTACGTGCCTTATTTGCAGGAAAAATGTTCAAAGACAATATGGACTCTGTGTGAGCAGAAATTACTGTTGTTTACTTACATTGGGAAAATTAATGAAAATGATTAATTAAATTTCTTACTCTTGGTCTTATATAATTCTAAAATAATTTTAATCTATTACAAATTGTGTAATTAACTGTAAATAACAATTTCCTTAATCTTACATCTAAGGGCAGATCACTCTAACTGCATAAAACCACTCTATAATCAAGAGGCCCATGGGCCTTATAGGTCATCTGAGTATCATGCGACAACTTTCCAACAATTGAATTTGCATGTTTTTGGGCCATGAAATTCACAATTTTGAAAGAGGCACCATTGCTTATCATAATTATACACTCAGCATGCTTATTTTGGTTACTTAATACCCAGGGGTATCTCAGAGTAACAAAGAGAAAATGCATTTCCACTTCTAGTGAATTTCAGGGATATTTTTAGGGCGGGTCCACAAAATGCACAGGAACCAATATCTTTCAAAATTTTGGAATTTTTAAAAAATCCATGCTGTTGATTAATACCAAAGTGCAGATTTCAAAGCATTAAATTATTTCAGACTATGTTACCCCCAAAGTACCTCTGTCTCAGGGGCCAGGAAATTAACCATTTTTGTAAGAAGCAGTTTTTTTTGTCATAAATATATACAAAGATCATTAGCATTACACCCAACAACAAAGGAAAAGATTTTCAAAGAATTCATGCATTTTCATTATATAAACATTAGAGCCACCTAACATAAGAAGCCCTAACCCAGGGACCCTGAAATTCAAAAATCTCAAAGAGGCATGACTTCCTCCTCATAACTATGTACATAGTTCATTGGTTAAATACCACAGAAAAGAAGAGTTTTAAAGAATTTATGCATTTTCACTATATAATCAATAAAGCCCCTCCCTAATACCAGAACCCCCAACCCAGGGGCCATGAAATTCACAATTTTGGAAGAGGTAGCCTTATTCAACATAACTATGTACTTGGTTAGTTTATTTAATACTCAGAAGCAAAGAAGAAGATATTTCAATTCATTTTTTACTATATAATCTATATAGCCCCACCATAGCACTAGAACCCCTGACCCTGGGGCCATGAAATTCACAATTTTGGAAGAGGCAGCCTTATTCAACATAACTATACACTTGGTTAATTTATTTAATGCCCATGAACAGAGAAAAAGAATTTCAAAGAATACTAATCTATATAGCCCCACCCTACCACTAGAACCCCTGTCCCTGGGGCCATGAAATTCACAATTTTGGAATAGGCGGTCATTTTCAATTTATCTATGCACTTGGTTAGTTTATTTAATGCCCAGGAGCAGAAAAGAAGAAGTTCAAAGAAATAATGCATTTTCACTATATAACATGTTTAGCCCCGCCCTAGCACTAGAACCCCTGACCCTGGGGCCATGAATTTCACAATTTTGGTAGAGGACTCAATGCTAATTACATTATTGCCAACAATTTACCTGCTTGATGTGAATTTTTTAAAGATTGCACTAATTTTAGTGGTTTTTGCCCCACCCCCCAACCCCAGGGGGGCAGGGACCATGAATCTTTAATCTTTGTTCCCCTTCTCCAATAGATGCTATATGCCAAATTTGTGAAATTTTGAGTGGCAAAGAAGAACTAAAAATTCAAATGTTAATGCATGACATCCTTGACGACGGACAAAAACAGATAGCAATAGGTCACCTGAGTTTACTCAGGTGACCTAAAAAGAACTCTTTAGTGTGCAGTGTTTAGAGCTTCCTTAACACTATTTAACTATCCATATCCATGAAAGCGTTTTAGGCTGCAACAACTCCAAATCATGATGCATCAACTTACAAGAATTGATATTTTTATAAAATTCAAAATATAAGATCTGAACATGACCTTATTTGACTATATATATAGTCATAAATTCTAAAATAGGGTCAAAATGACCTACTTTTGGGTGACAACATACCTTTCCCCAACATGCTATACCACAAGAAGACAGACATATTAAGAACATGGAAACAAATATGTACCCTTTGATTTGCATATTTCAACTAAATTTTTATTAAAAATGAAAGTAACATAACAAACATATTACATACATTAATCTTTTATCTTTTTTTTGCATTTTAAGATTTAGAAGTAGACAGTTTTACTAATGACAATGGACTCTTTCTTTCCTTTTTGTTAATTACTGTGAATTCCTTACCATAAAACCCCTGTACCAATCTTTAATCTCAGCCTTCGTGAATTTTGTATTTGAGCACAAAAATTCCAAGTCTTCCTTGGGAAGCTTCTTACTGGATGATTTGTTCCCCATCTTATTTACCTGGAAAAGAGGAATTTATAGACTGTATCAAAATTTTATTTGCATTGTAATCAAAGAAGTTTGAATTAATTTTAACAAGATCAATTAGACCTTTAAAGGTAGCAAATGACACAGTTTTTCAGAATTCAGTAAGATATGAGTCACATCCCTATATTTACGGTAGTACGAATGAGTGTCCTTGGGCAAGCTAAGATACTTTTGTGACAAATTTGACAAAAGTTGGCTGTGAGGCTCTTGAGATATTTCCCATTTTCAGAAAAAAGTTTTTACAAAAAACTTTTAAATTTTTTTAATGATTAACCTTGGCAATGATGTTCATCAAAATCCAAAACTGACCAAAAGAATTTTCATGGATCACCTTTTCATTAAAAAAAAAAATTAACAGCTTGCTGCAACAAAAATCTACTTATTTCATCAAACAAAATATTTTTAGTTTTATTTTTAGAATCCATTGAAAGAGTTTTTTTTTCAATATTTGAAGAGGATTGTACCATTATTACTTCACTTCAACACAAGAAGAGAATGGTTTGATAATGACACTTCAATATTTAAAGAGAAAGGTACAACTACTAAACTACAATTCAAAATATCAAGAGATTGGTTATATTACAGGTATTATACTTCAAAATATGAAAACAATGGCAGATTATTTATCTTCATTATAAAAAAAGGATAGTAAAATCCACCTGTGACGTCATTCTTTTGTTTGAGTGCTCCATTACTTATAATTACATTGAAAACAGTGTTATGAATTCTTTTGTGCCTCTACCAAGGAAAGAACAAAAATTTTGATGTGCTTATTTATTGAAAATTTAGTTTTTTTAGAGTTGCAAAGGCTTTGAATTTGATAAACATGGGTTTAGATTAAATTCAGTACACTTTTTTTAGTTTTTCTTTCTATATTATATATAAATAATACTACTAATATATGTTACTGTTTACTTTTAAAAATACCATTTTAAAAAGTGGATTTTGTCTACAAAAATATAGATGTGCATTTTTTTTTTTTTTAAGGCTTTGAAAAAGTCAGATTTTATAGAAAAAAAAACTGTAATTTAAAAAAACCTTAAAAGATGGATTTTGTCCAGTAGAATGTTTTTTTTTAAATAAAAAAAATTAAACTACTAATGTTTCAGCTACTTGTAAGGTACTCAAGCATGCAAAAAGATTGTGTAATTAAATGTTTACAATTGTTTATGTCAAGTTTCATACCTATCATATGCAACTTATGTTCATTCAAGCTTTTTGTTTTTTGACAATAAATATCCTGACCATGAGACTGACCTCTCTCAGAATACACAGCCACAATACTGTATGTGAAATCTTATTTCAGGTATATAATACAAGTCTGAAATTGATTCCTATCCATAGGGGTTATTGCCCCTTTCAGTTTTAAACAATAATCTATACTTTCAGAAACAACTCACATTCTTTTAACACCTGCCAAACTTCAAATCTGCAATTTTATAACATGCCCCAATGAAATATATTTTATGAGAATCTTATCAATGTTTTCCTGCAATAAATAAATTTTTACACTGTTGTATAATAAAAAAAAACACCCTCATTAGAAATTCGCTCGTTATTATTATGGAAAGCAATCAATTACCATCACATTCCATCAGAGAATTATTTCATGAGTGACTTTGATAGGATCGGAGATATTATATTGGAAAAAGTTCTGTCAATAATTTATATTTCATTTTAGCTTCATATACCTCTGAAGTTGTTTCCCATTAATTACTGAGCTCTAAGTTGTACAGGAAACTAGAACAATTAGAATACTATGTTCTGGCCTGTTAAATTGATTCCATTAATTAATGCATGACTACTACAATTCAGTCTTCAGATTTCTGTTCAAGTTTTTACCCTCAGACTTTTGATAGATGATTTTTGATTGACAAAGCAATAAGATTGGAAACGCTTGGCCTCAGAACACAACTAAACTTCTACATCATTAAACCAAATGTTACTTTGTGCTGAAGCTTTTTTAAGTATTAATACTCCAGGTTGAATCTCATCAGAATCAAAAACATGCCAAATCTTTTTTTTCTTGAGCTGTCAAAAATAGAATTCAAAGAGGAGAAGATCAGAAGAACAAAGGAAGCAAATTTGTATCAGACAATAATATAATTCAGCATTTGGCCTCCTTAAAAAGAATTAAAAGGTAGAAATGTCTTCTGTTTATTAAATTAAAAGAGGCCGACTCCAAACTGGGTCTTTTAAGTGAAATATTCCATGACTGATAATTCTTTGGAAACTTTGGATGCTTGAATAACTTATGATTTGGTTTCTAAAAACAATTTTACTAAAACTATTCCTTGGGGAAAAAAATCCAGAATAATTCTCTTCCTTCCCCAAAACAACAAAAATACATTAACTGATGTTTATGGATGTACTTTAGTGGAATAATGCTAAATAAAATCATTCACAGCACTTAAAATGTGCGGTTACACTCTATGCTTTTCATTCTCTGAGGAGTGAATATAATTTTTCATCTGACTCCATCAGACAAGGATAGTTATTTGTGCAAGTTTAGCTCAGCACACAAGCCAAAAGTACTCTCTTGTAATAAAAAAGACAAGCATAAAATAGGATGATTTCATTTAAATAAAGATTATAGAAAAACAAATGTCAAAATCTTCTTCCCTCTCAGTTGTTTATTTTCCTGTTGACACTGTGCTAAGTAATGGTGACAGAGCTACAGAATATTTTCTATTACAAATTGCCTGTACATTATACTCAACCAATAATCAGCCTTGCCCCCTGTGGGATCGCTCGCAACTTCCCCAATAAGGAGCCTTGTTATTAGAGCTATCACACTCATTATTGGTCTGGCCTGACCATTCCCAAGTCATATGGTCAGTCCATTACCGACATTATTGGGGAAATTGTAGATTGAAGGACAAACATTCATCACAGTTCACTGAGTTTCATGTGTCTCAGTGTAATTGTATGTATTAAGTATATGAAGCAAGAGACTGGAAAACAAAATGGGGAGGGAGTGAGAGATCAACTCATAATTCCATTTCATTTGCATTCTAGCATTCTCACAAGTTGTCACAAAATTTCTATTACAGTACATACCATGACAGGGTCTACTTCACATTTTATATAATAAAAAACAAAAATTCTGACTTTTAATGTTTTGTTATGGATCGTCCATATCATTCCATTTTCAGATAAACAGCAACCATAGGAAAGATTGGCTCTGGAGTCCAGGATATGATGCTAATGTCAAGAATACAATGACTTTCTCCTCAAACTTTCTCACTTTTGTAATCAATTTTCCAGACTCATCTAGTTAATGCTAGACAGTTGTTTCTTGCATCACTTCAAAATGCTCTAGATCAGCACAGGAACCATCTCTCTCAAAAGTTGTGATGGAACCTGCACTTTAAACATCCAACTCCCAGAAAATGAAATATATATTGATAATTTTCAAAGTTTTATATTTGGTTAACCCAGACATTTGAGTTAACTAACAGTTAACTGAGAGAGATGCTTAATATGTAGAGGCACTGTAGGGCAGAGCTTAGGGTACACAAATCCATGGGTAATAAAAAAGAACTCTACAAAGATAATGGAACGTGCTATAAAACAAGATACATTTATCTCAAATGATGGAATAAAACATGTAATCAGAGACCTCTGTGAAAGCCTGCAATAAAAATCCACACATAAAGCTCCATTTACATAGTGGAATGATTACTGAGGTTTCAGACTTGACATAATTCGAACAATACAGGACTCTGGAGTTGAAGGGTTTCAAATTAATCAGACTACACTATACCCCAATGCTTAGCTCATTAAGTCTCTGATTTTTTTTCTCCAGGATCTTGATTTTGGACTATATACAATTATTTTTGGACTATATACAATTATAGCACTGACAATTCAGACTAAAGATATTGTGTGGGTCTTTAGTAATTTTCCTCAATAATGCATGGCCACATCTATATGGCTTAAATCTTCATAAACATACATGTATATCTTATGAAATCAAATTTTGATCAAAAGCATGTGTACACTGATGTTAAAAAATACAAACTACATACATAAATCAGCTTGAAAATGACTGATGCAGACCGATATTCTTATCTCTGTGAAACGAACATCTGCACACGCTGCACCAATACTGCGCCATATATGATCAACCGTAATGCTCAATAACAACCATAATAAATCAACAGATAGGCAATTTTTACATAATTCAGGCCTCGCACCAGTCAAGTCAACAGTAATTTAATAATTTGCTGTTAATTTAATTGTTCTGAATATGATCTTGCCAGTTATTAACTCTGCTCTTGGACCACACTGCATACATTGTAATGTCTCTGGTGGCTTCCTTTGAGCCAAAATAGAAAAAGTAAATTGCAAGAAATGAACAGATCAATTCTTCTTCATTTCCCTGGGGATTTTTGGACTGATGTAAGCAGACCTTATGTTCACATATCCTTTAGACCTTTAACCCTACATATTGACTTCTACGGGTCTTTTTTTTTTTTATCATAACAAGAAGCAAGAGTGGGGAATGTAATATAATCCTGACATGTACATATGAGTTATATCTATGGGTTTTATCGAATCAAAGATCCTTTGGCTAAATTGCTCACCCAAATTCTTGAACTCTCACTGAAAATTTCCAAGTATGGAGCCTTAAGTTTGGTCATATAAGCCATAGTTTGAGTAAACTTGATTCATCTAAAAGTTGGTCACAACTTTTACACCTATTGTTCAGAAATTATACTTAACTTACTATTTTCACACATACATGCTTTGTAATGTGTGTGAAATGTAATGAATAAGATGCCTCAAACTTGTGTAAAATGTAACAAATGGGTAAGTTTCCACACACTATGTGAAATGTAATGAATTGGTAAGGCCCCATACATTCTTTTTGAAATGTAATTAATATTGGTAAGGCCTCACATACTGTATGAAATATAATTAATTGCTAAGACCCCTGGATACAATGTGAGTGAAATGTAATGTATTGT